CCGATGTATATGATAAGAGCAAGCACCCCGTGGGGGATTCTTGGAACACAGCTGAATGTATGGAATGCAACTGCTACACAGACGGGATGCAGTGCTGCGCCAGGTAGGCAAAGTGGATTCACTAGTTTAGGCTATTTATACCTCTGCTCTGATCCCTGCTGTAAGGCATGCACTCTAAATAATGCTGCGGGATTCTGGTATGTGAAGTGATTTATAGTTTCCAAATAACAACTCCCTGAACCACTGCAAGTTGGATAGCAAGTGTCCCAGAAGCAAGCAAAATGCAGTAGAGTCCTTTCACAGCAAAATCATGCTTCAACCCATCTATCAGCAGAGTCCAACTGCCAGCTTCTGACCTTATCTACACACACTGTTTAGCAAACTCATGGATTCAGGTTTTCATCCAAAATATCCAGAGACTTCACTCTTCACTGTTGCAATATATATGAACGTACAAACAGGATTCACAGATCCACTTTCCTTGTATTTGAAAACAGTCAGTCATCAAAAAGTCATATACAGTAGGCTTGGGTAACAACGGAAAAAATTGTTTCTAAACTCGTTTCGTTTTTAGGGGTCCATCGCGTTTCGTTTTTTTAAAGAATTCCAAAATTTTCCTTTTAAAAATTTCGAAATATACGAAATTTCGTATAATTACGAATCAATTCGTTAATGGCGGACGCGATTGCGCAATATGCTAAAAAAACCTCCAAATGGGACAGGGGGAACTTCTGAAGCTTCCCTCTCCCTCTGTTGTTGACTGTTGGTGTGATAAAACAAACAACAACTATAAAACTTGCACCAGACATGCGAAAATAATTAAGAAATAATGAATAACAACGAAATAATTACGAAATAACAACGAAATAATTGAAAATTGAAAAAATTGTTTCGAAACTAATTTACTCCTCACACTATTCCTGCACGGCTCAATATCGGATCGTAAGCTAATTTAAATACGAATTAATAACGAATTACGAAATTAACGAACGAAACCGCCCAAGCCTAATATACAGCATAGGCAGATACTCACACTGAGTCACACAGGAGAGAGAAAGATGGATTATTTCACCTGCTGATAGGTCATCAGTAAGGGACACTGGTTGATACAACCCCGTTGCAATAACCATCACAGGGTTATAACTCAGCCATTACCACATTGCCTTAGGTATTGCATCATGACATTAATAACAATAACAATAATAATAATCTTTATTTAATACCCCACCACAATCTCCCCAATGGGGACTCGGGGCGGCTTACATGAGGCCAAACCCAACAGCATTTTACAATAAAATAAAACCAAAACACAATAGCAACACAATAAAATACAACATATGAGTACAAAAAAAAAAGGGCTACAGCAAAATCATACACAATAAAATAACAATGAGCGGGTCATACCATACATTCACAGTCATACCCAGGTGCTACCAATATTTCACATGTTCATCAAACAGTATTTTTTCATGATTAGGAATGCTGTGCGATTTCTATCTAACAAATAAGACGTAACACACATGGAAAGCCACCCTGAGCGCCTCCCCTTTGGGGAGGGATTGAGAAGGGTGGGGTACAAATATCTGAAATAAATAAATAAATAAAAGGGAATGGCTGCCTTTCTTCCTCCAAGGCCAGGGCAGTGGCAGTTGGGATTGCAGGAGGGGCTTCCACCTGCTTCTAGGCATGATGGGGCTGTGTTTGCTCTTTCTTCTCTTCAGTCCAACGCCAAGGCAGTGGCAGTTGGGATGAGGAAGGAGCTTTTTCTGCTTCAAGGAATAGGGAAAATGGAGCTGTGGCTACATCTTCTATGATATCACGATCCTCTCCCTTCAATGACAGGGCAGTGGCAGTTGGGATGGAGGACTTAGACATAATAGAGCTCTATCTCTTCTTCTCTCCTTCCAAGGCCAGGGCAGTGACAGCTGGGATGGATGGAGGCCTTTGCTTCTGGACCTAGGCATGATGAAGCTTCACCTGCTTCCTCTTCCTTCGAAGCCAAGGCAGTGGCAGTTGGAGAGGAGGGAGGATGTTTCATCTGCTTCAAGTCATGATGGAGCTCTGCCTGCCTCCTCTTCTCTCCCTCCAAGGCCAGGGTAGTGGCAGTTGGGATAGAGGATGGTGCTCCTATCATGCCTTAGACCTAGAACCAGATGGGAGCCCCTTTCTCCATTCCAACTGCCACTGCCCTGGCCTTAGAGGGTGGTTTTTTTCATGCACTTCTGAGCCTGAGCGGAATGGAGATGAACCACCTCATCCCAACTGCTTCTGCTCTTCTAGATCTAGGTATGACGGAGCTGCACCTCACTCTTCTTCTCTTTGCAAGTCTAAAAACCCATGTCAGTGGATACCTTCTTCTTCTGCTTCTTATTTTTAGATACGGTGGCGTTGCGCATGTTCAAGGATGTGTAGCAGTGGTCGATGAAACAACATGCAAATATAAGTTCTATAAGGAGGCGAATCCATCAGAACCATGTTTTGAAGAAGGCCAGGAACCCTTTAAATGAATGGGGAGCAAATAAATAAATGACCCTCTGCATCTAAAATGGACTCTTGTCTTTTTTGGTTTTTCGCTTCAAAGACCATAGCATTTCACAGAAAGGAACTTTTCAATGGATTCTTGACTGAAAGCAAGAGACTTCTCTAGGAATCTTTATGTCCTCCAATGCAATTTGGTAGCCAGCTTACAACACAAGTTGATCAGAGTCAGGTTGGAAGACCTAGAAATTCTTAGAGATTTCTCTCAAGTTGAAAAAAATAAAGAGTTGTTTTAATTTAATGGTGTTCCCAGGGGCGGCTCAACCATTATGCAAAGTAAGCATTTGCAGTATAGTTGACTTTGCCCAGGGGCGCTCTTGAGGCGCTCTTGGGGGAAAATAGACCTTGACATATGCGAGTTGTAGTTACTGGGATGTATAGTTCACCTACAATCAAAGAGCATTCTGAACTCCACCAATGATGGAATTGAACCAAATATGGCACACAGAACTCCCATGACGAACAGAAAATATGTATCAGTGATTGGTTGGGGGGGGGCAAAATACTGTTTGCTTTCCGTTGAAAATTACCTAGGGCTGCCTCTGGGTGTTCCACTACCCCTAACCGTAGCAAATGTGGAGGGTTGGCTGCAGGTTTAGACTTGGGTTGGGACACAAATGACCCTCCGAGTGGTTGATGGAGCTTTATCCGTACATCTCAAGGTTGAGCCCAGGATATTTTGGTACTAAACATCTCCAAAAATGTCCTCTTCCTTGAACAAAATTCTTGCATTTATTCCCATACAACAGTGATTCTCAACCTTCTTAATGCCGTGATCCTCGTGTTGTGGTGACCCCCAACCATTTCATTGCTACTTCATAACTGTGATTTTGCTACTGTTATGAATCGTAATGTAAATATCTAATATGCAAGATGTATTTTCATTCACTGGGCCAAATTTAGCACAAATACCCGATACGCCCACATTTGAATACTGGGTAGGTTGGGGGGGGGGCGGTTATTTTGTCATTTGGGAGTTGTAGTTGCTGGGATGTATAGTTCACCTACAATCAAAGAGCATTCTGAACTCCTCCAGTGATGGAATTGAACCAAACTCGTCACTCAGAAAATACTGTAAAGGTTTGTGGGTAGTTACCTTGAGTTCACCTACATCCAGAGATCACTGTGGACTCAAACAATGATGGATCGGGACCAAACTCTACACGAATAATCAATATGCCCAAATGTGAACACTGATGGAGTTTGGGGAAAATAGAATCTTGACATTTGGGAGTTGTAGTTGCTGGGATTTATAGTTCACCTACAATCACAGAGCATTCTGAACTCCACCAACAATAGAATAAGGGCAAACCTCCCACACAGAACCCCCATGTGGGCCACAGCAACACGTGGCAGGGGATGGCTACTTATTAATAAAGTACGTTACTGAGGGCTTCTCTTCCTTTTCCCTTTTACATCTACTAAACCTCCACCCCAATGAAACCCATTCCAACCCACACCCCAGTGTGGGAAGTTTGGTCCAATTCTATCGTTGGTAGGGTTCAAATTGTTCTTTGATTGTAGGTGAATTATAAATCCCAGCAACCACAACTCCCAAATGTCAAGCTCTATTTCCCCCAAACTCCACCAGTGTTCACATTTGGGCATATTGAGTATTCGTGCCAAGTTTGGTCCAAATCTATCATTGAGTCAACAGTGCTCTCTGGATGTAGGTAAACTACAACTCCCAAACTCAAGACCAGTGCCCACCAAACTCTTCCTGTACTTTCTGTTGGTCATGGGAGTTCTGTGTGCCAAGTTTGGTTCAATGCCATCGCTGGTGGAGTTCAGGATGCTCTTTGATAGTAGGCGAACTATATATCCCAGCAACTACATTTCCCAAATGACAAAATCAATCCCCCCCCCCAACCCCACCAGTATTCAAATTTGGGCGTATCAGGTATTTGTGTCAAATTTGGTCCAGTGAATGAAAATACATCCTGCATATCAGATATTTACATAGTGATTCATAAGAGTAGCAAAATGGCAGTTCTGAGATAGCGACGAAAATAATTTTGTGGTTGGGTGTCACCAAATACATCCTGCATATCAGATATTTACATAGTGATTCATAAGAGTAGCAAAATGACAGGTCTGAGATAGCGACAAAAATAATTTTGTGGTTGAAGGTCATCACTACATGAAGAACTGTATTAAGGGGTCACGGCATTAGGAAGGTTGAGAAACACGATATATAATTTTCCTACATGCCTAAAAGTCTAACACTGAGATGTTGTAGGAGATGCCAAGGTTTCCTATTCTGTCTGCAGTGGAGATAGATGTCCCAATTGTGAAATGTGATGGGTGCATCATAGGTAAATCTTCTCTGATTTGCTGTGGGTCCCTATCTGTCGACATATTTCTTTGGAAGCCACAAGAGCCACTCGCTTATCACAGGTATCAATGTACAAATCAAATACCAGCGAAGTCCAGAGCAAACATGTCTTTCCCAACCGCCTTTGTGCCTCTGTGTCACGTTCATTGGGCCTGAACACGACTGTCACGGGGAGGTGTCCTCCTCTCCTTTTCCTCTTCTCGGCTCTATAAATTGAGGGGAGACATTCTCCACCAAAGCAGCCAAGAAAGCTCTCTCCTGGTTGTCAAGATCCGTTCGGGGAAAGTCTGCTTTCCCAAATCCAAGAAACCAAAATGGTAAGTAAAGTAATAATTTTGCAACCTGGTTTGATTTGAACCAGATCTGAAAATTATTATTATTATTATTATTATTATTATTATTATTATTATTGCTGGGGTGTTGTGAGTTTTCCAGGCTGTCTGGCCATGTTCCAGAAGCATTCTCTCCTGACGTTTCACCCACATCTATGGCAGGCATCGTCAGAGGTTGTGAAGTCTTTTGTAAACTAGGCAAGTGGGATTTATTTTTCTGTGGAATAATGTCCAGGGAGGGAGAAAGAACTCTTGTATGTTGGAGGCCAATGGAATGGCCAACAAAGGATTCCCCCAGGCAGTAAGAAGCCAGGACTTGACACTGCTAGGCCATTAAATGTTAATCAAAGTGGCCAATTGAAACATTCACACCTACTTCAAGGGACAAGAGTTCTTTCTCCCACCTTGAACATTTATTTATTTAGAGCTTTTATATACCGGTCTTCTCACCTCCAACGAGGGACTCAGGCCGGTTTACAACCGAGGAATTCATACACAATAGTTTAAAACAACACATCCAATAATACACTGATATAAAACGCATTAAAACACAATCATATAATTACATAAGGCCAAGTCGTCCGAATCAAATCACTATTCATCCCCATTCGTCCGTGTGATCAAGAGTTATTGACTCACTCATCAAATGACAGATTCCAGAGCCAGGTTTTCACCAACTTTCTAAAGGCCAGGAGGGAAGGCACAGTTCTAATCTCCAATGGGAGAGAGTTCCAGAGCCGAGGGGCCACCACTGAGAAGGCCCTGTCCCTTGTCCCCACCAGACGCGATTGCGAGGGTGATGGGACCGAGAGCAGGGCCCCTCCAGAAGATCTTAACAACCTTGATGGTTCACAGGGGAGAATCCATTCGGACATGTAAACCATTATTCTAACCTTCTTCAATGTAAATATGCTTACATGTCCTCCAATAATAATAGAGTAAAATAATAATAGAGTAAAATAATAAATGTAACAATAACAATAATAGAGTAAAATAATAAATGTAATAACAATAATAAAATAATAAATGTAATAACAATAATAAAATAATAAATGTAATAACAATAATAAAATAATAAATCTAATAATTATAATAACAACAAAGTTAAATAATAAATAACATTGACTCGAGTATAAGCCGGGGGATACTTTTTCAACCTAAAAAAAAGACTGAAAAACTAGGCTTATACTCAAGTATATACAGTACTTTGGAGATTCCTCTCCCAGCCAGCATAGAACAATGAGACATGTAAATGCATATAGACAAAGGAAATACTGGGAGTTATAGTCCCAAAGCAACTTTTCCAATCTTACTGAATATCTCTTTCATTCTCTGACCCATAGCTTTGTTAACTACACAGCATCCAGACCTTATTCCTTTACTACTTGTAGCCACACAATTTACTTTCGTTAACAAGTGAAGTCACGAAGAGTCGGAAATGACTGAACGAATGAACAACAACAACACCAAGCGAAAAATAAATATATATCAACTGTATTAAAAACATACACATTTACCTGGAGAAGGGTGGAATCTAGAGACCTCAATCTTCTTGCCAGCCCGAATTAAAGTCAACGGGTCTACTCTAGGTACTACTATCCAATAGTACTATCCAATAGTACTATCCAATTTGGATAGTCACTTCTTTTCAGAGTGCAGAACTGTGTAACGAAGTCAATGCAGTGACCATATAATGCAGTGCAGTCCAAATGGAATTCTATGATTCTGCATTGACCATGCAATGCAATGCCATCCAAATGACATTCTGTGGTTCTGCACTGATCATATAATGCTGCGGTTCTCAACCCGGGGGTCGCAACCCCCAGGGGGGTTGCCTGGCCATTTCTGTTGGCCCTGCCCCAAGGGCATGGGCCAGGCGAGGGGTCCTCCACGCAAGACCTGGCCTCACACAAAGCCCGCCTCACCTGTCTCGCACTCTCGCCATCCGGCGAGGGCGCAGGGTAGGCAAGGGGTCCTCCGCGTGAGGCCTGGCCTTGCGCAAAGCCTGCCTTGTCTGCCTCTCTCTCTCTCTCTCTCTCTGTCTATTCCTCCCAAACCCCTCCAGTATTTTTTGTTTGACATGGGAGTTCTGTGTGGAGGTCTCAGTGGTCTGTAGAAGTCAGCGCTGAATCAACTGAAGGTACTGCAAATCCCATCATCTGTTTCCCATACTCCCCCAAACATATTTTTCTGATTAATCATGATGTTTTAATTACGTTGAATTTGTAACAATGAAAACACATCCTTCATATCAGATATTTACATTACAATTTGTAACAGTAGCAAAATTACAGTTATAAAGGAGCAATGGAAATAATTTTATGGTTGGGGGAAATATGAGGAACCATATTTAGGGGTCCCGGTGTTAGAAAGGTTGAGAACCACTGATATAATGCAATGCAGTCCAAATGGCATTCTATAGTTCTGCATTGACCATGTAATGAAGACCAAACTGCATTACATGGCAGTGTAGAATCAGTTTATTAGTGGCACCTGAAAGGCAGCAGATTTTGTCTGATCTTAAGAGCTAAGCACGGTCTTCAATGCAAGACCATGTACGGTACTACAGTATAAGCAGTATGTCACAGGAAGGAACTGGCAAAACCATTTCCAACTATTCCTTGCCTTGATATTCTGGATTATATGGCAGTGTAGAAGGGCCCATATAATCCAGTTTCTGAATCCGGATTATCTGATCTGAATTGGATTATATGCATCTACGTACACTGCCATATAATCCAGATTATCAAAGTTTTGAACTGGATTATATGAGTCTACACTTCCAAATAACCCAGTCTGCATTTTGGGTTATCAGCTGATTTTTCAATCCTGGCCTTAATTGCATTGGTTCTGATGGCTTGCTCCTGGCCTTCTGCCTCCTTCTTCAGGGTTCCATTGGTGAGCCATCACCAGGTCTTCTCCTTCTCAACGTTTCCTTCAATTTTGTCAAGGAACTGCCCATGCTATGCTTTGATGTGTCTGCTGTCAGTTCTGGTTTGTAGTGCAGTTTTCTTGTACTGATTCTTTGTCTGCTGTGCTTTGAGAAGTTTCCAATTATTGACTTCAATTAGAGCAGATTCTTGGCTTTCCTTGATATATTCTGCCAGTTTTTCTTCTTCAACTGCTTGTTTTATTTGTAAAAGTCCTCTGCCACCAGACCTTCCAGTGGTTTTCAACCTGGGGTCCCCAGATGTTTTTGGCCTACAAATCCCAGCCAGTTTACCAGCTCTTAGGATTTCTGGGAGTTTAAGGCCAAAAACATCTGGGGACCCCAGGTTGAGAAGCACTGTCTAGGCAGATAGAGCCGGTCAACATCACTGCGAGGATGTAGTGAAATTATGAATGGTCACGAGTTTTCTTGTTTTTCTGTCCAAATTGTCCAGTTCTGCCTGCGTCCAGTTTATGATGCCAGCAGTATATTTTCTTCTCCTTCTCCTCCTCCTTCTCCTCCTCCTCCTCCTCCTCCTCCTCCTCCTCCTCCTTCCTCCTCCTCCTCCTCCTCCTCCTCCTCCTCCTCCTCCTCCTCCTCCTTCTCCTTCTCCTTCTCCTTCTCCTCCTCCTCCTCCTCCTCCTCCTCCTCCTCCTTCTCCTTCTCCCTCTCCTGTTAAAGCCCTGAGCTGCTGAGCTTGTTGACTGAAAGGTCAGTGGTTCGAATCCAGAGAGCAGGGTGAGCTCTCACTGTTAGGCCCAGCTTCTGCCAACCTAGCAGTTTGGAAACATGCAAATGTGAGTAGATCAATAGGTACCACTTCTGTGAGAAGGTAACAGTGCTCCATGCAGTCATGCCAGCCACATGACATTGGAGGCATCTACGGACAACGCCGGCTCTTCGGCTTAGAAACCAAAATGAGCACCACCCCTCTAATGTTATGGGAAAATCTTGATTTAAGTCACACTTTCTCAACGTCAAAGCAATGCAAACAAATGTTGCCAAGGAAACTCTGTAATATGCTTTCTATGCTTTATCCCTGGTGCCTCTATTTCAGAACATTCTTTTCCGGCTGGGTGTCCTCTGCATCGCGGTGGCTGTGTGCCATGGAGCCTGCTTTAGAAAGCTGAATGAAGTGGTGATCAAAGACGGTAAGGTGGTCATGCTTGCTATTTCCTTCTAGGGCAGGCATGGGCAAACTTTGGCCCTCCAGGTGTTTTAGACTCCAACTTCCACCATTCCTAACAGTCTAACGGCTGTTAAGAATGGTGGGAGTTGAAATCCAAAACACTTGGAGGGCCAAAGTTTGCCCGTACCTGCTCCATCTGCATTGTAGAATAACTGCAACTTGATCCCTCTTGAACTGTCATAGTTGCATGCTATGGAATATTGGGAGTTACAGTTTTGCAAGGCCTTTTGTCTCATCTCCCAGAGACACATGGACTATAGCTGCATTTGGTACACAAACAAGGGGAATTATAGTTTACACACATAAGCATTCAAGCCTACATGCATATGTTACCATCCCTTCTTCCTTCTCCTGGAGAAGACAGCCAAAGGTATGTCAGACTGTGTTGTCGAGGGCTTTCATGGCTGGGTTGCTGTGAGTTTTCCTGGCTGTATGGCCATGTTCCAGAAATCTGCCATTCTGCGAATACACCATCTCTCTCCGTCCCTTGGAGAAGAGCAGCGGGTGACCAGACTCCTCCTGTCTACCACATTTTTGGACAATAAAAAGGTCTCTTATATAACAATATTTTGCTGTTGTTTAAGTTGTCTTGTAAAAGATTGACAAGTTGTTTTGCCAGACAGATGTAGGCTTTTCTTCCTTAATTGATCATTCATTATCCTTTTTTAGGAGCATTGTGTTTGCTTCCTTAACTTAAAAGATTCCTTGTCTCTGGTAATGTAAACATGGTGTTTCTCCCCAAGAGTTAATCACTGTTGCTAATCAGCCATGTCAGCAGTTCTCATCAGCAACTTTTAATTTGTTGTTGTTGTTCATTCGTTCAGTCGTCTCTGACTCTTCGTGACCTCATGGACCAGCCCACGTCAGAGCTCCCTGTTGGCCGTCACCACCCCCAGCTCCTTCAAGGTCAGTCCAGTTGCTTCAAAGATGCCATCCATCCATCTTGCCCTTGGTTGGCCCCTCTTCCTTTTGCCTTCCACTTTCTCCAGCATAATTGTCTTCTCTAGGCTTTGCTGTCTCCACATGATGTGGCCAAAGTACTTCAACTTTGTCTCTAGTATCCTTCCCTCCAATGAGCAGTCGGGCTTTATTTCCTGGAGGATGGACTGGTTGGATCTTCTCGCAGTCCAAGGCACTCTCAGAACTTTTCTTCAACACCACAGTTCAAAAGCATATCTCTTCCTTCGCTCAGCCTTCCCTAAGGTCCAGCTCTCACATCCGTAGATTCATGAATTCTTCATCTTCTTTTGTAGTTTTCCAGGCCTCATTTCTTAGGATGGCATCTTTAGCTTCTGTAGACCCCAACCATACACTTTCCAAGCAATTTCATTCAAACAAAACGTCATATTTTATCACAGATAAAGTCCTTTCTGGAAATGTTGGCCATGGCCAGGCCACATTTCTAACACAAGTTATGGAACTATTGAAAGTAAAGCCAATGGGTGCGTTTAATCCCTAGGTAAACTGGAGGAGCCTGTGTGCACCGATGTGTACGATGGGAGCAAGCACCCCGTGGGCGATTCTTGGAACACAGCTCACTGTATAGGATGCAACTGCTACACAGACAGGATGGAGTGCTGCACCAGGTAGGCAAAGTGGATTCACTAGTTTAGGCTGTTTATACCTCTGCTCTGATCCCTGCTGTAAGGCATGCACTCTAAATAATGTTGCGGGATTCTGGTATGTGAAGTGATTTATAGTTTCCAAATCACAACCTCCCTGAACCACTGCAAGTTGGATAGCAAGTGTCCCAGAAGCAAGCAAAATGCAGTAGAGTCCTTTCACAGCAAAATCATGCTTCAACCCATCTATCAGCAGAGTCCAACTGCCAGCTTCTGACCTTATCTACACACACTGTTTAGCAAACTCATGGATTCAGGTTTTCATCCAAAATATCCAGAGACTTCAATCTTCACTATTGCAATATATATGAATGTACAAACAGGATTCACAGATCCACTTTCCTTGTACTTGCAAACAGAGTAATCAAATAGTCGTATACAGCATACTGTTCTGTTGCGCGCTGGGCCTGTAAAGAATTTCCTTTCGAACAGGACGTGCAACCTTTGCCCAACGGGAAGCCAGGGGGCCCAAAGAGAAGTTCTCAGAGGTTTTCCACCACAAATAGTCTTTAGATGGCTTGTGAAGTATAACAAAATCTTTTATTAATGAACAATCAAACAGAAACTTCTCTTGTCTTCAGTAAAGTTAAACAAATGATTCCAGGCTTTTATGCAACTGGTGGCTTCCTAAACTTGCCCACGAAGGACAGGCAACTGTCTTCAATAACTTATTCTTTACTTAAAAGGAAAGTCCCCTTTTTCCTGGACCTACCACTAAAGGCTTAGATGTTCTCCAGCTGGAGTTCTTTGGTCTTTAGGGTTGTTTCCCTGGAAAGTCTTTGGAGAATCTTAAAACTGTTCTCCCCGGAAATTCTTAGGGGCTGAAGCTTTCGTACAGGGGAAGCTTACACACGTCCTGTACATTGGCTTTCCTTGCTGAGACTAACTAAAAAATGGCTCCCTTCCCTTCCCAATTGCCCTGAGCAAGGGGCGGGACCAAAACTTAACAATGATGGACAGGTGACTTGCCCTACGACTGCAACCAAAGGAAGCCACCTATCTGCAGAATCCCAGGAACCTTGGACTGCAAGCAAACATTTAATACAAAGCAAATAAACGTGGAGCTCCTGGTACAGCCGTACCAGAACACACACTGAGTCGCACAGGAGAGAGAAAGATGGATTCTTTCACCCTCCTTATATAGCTACCTGCTGATAGGTCATCAGTAAGGGACACTGGCTGATGCAACCCCTTTGCAATAACCATCACAGGGTTATAACTCAGCCATTACCACATTCCCTTAGGTCAGTGGTTCTCAACCTGGGGTCCCCAGATGTTTTTGGCTTTCAACTCCCAGAAATCCTAACAGCTGGTAAGCTGGCTGGGATTTCTGGGAGTTGTAGGCCAAAAACATCTGGGGACCCCAGGTTGAGAACCACTGCCTTAGGTATTGCATCATGACATTCACAGTCATACCCAGGTGCTATCAATATTTCACATGTTCATCAAACAGTACTTTTTCCATGGTTAGAAATGCTGTGCCATTTCTATCTAACAAATAAGACGTTAACACACGTGGAAAGCCATCCTGAGTTCCCCCGGGGGGGGGGGGGGGGGGGAAGGGCGGGGATACAAATATCTGAAATAAATACTGTATATACTCGAGTATAAGCCTAGTTTTTCAGTCCTTTTTTAGGCTGAAAAAGTCTTCCCCGGCTTATACTCGAGTCAATGTTATTTATTATTTTACTTTGTTGTTTGTTATTATTATTATTATTATTATTATTACATTGATTATTATTACTATTAGTCCGTATTATTACAGTGTATTATTTACTTACTTCCAATAGATACTGGTCATTTACATCCAACTAGTATTACTATATACACAAACTCCTCACAGGTGGAAGTAGCCGGGACAGTGAGAGCCTAATCATCAAACGAACGAAGTAGAGATTGTTAGAAAATGTACAGACCAAAAGGTGAGACGGGGCCAAACCACATATGTAAGAGGAGTAT